TCAACCACTTCATAAAAGAGTCAATGGCCACAGAAATTGTGTCAAAGCCAAATCATCCACATTTTTATATGAACATTTTAATATTCCTGGTCACGTCTTCTCAGATGCTTCCATACAGATTGTAGATTATGTTGATTCTGACATGTCCACCGATGTCAAAAATGATTTACTTCTCCTGGAGGATTACTGGATAGAGAAGCTTGGGACAGCATTCCCTCTTGGTCTTAATGACAAGAAGAAAGGAACGGGCAACATCTCCCAAGATCGGGTTATGAATTATTTTAGTGGACAGATTGCTCGATACAAACGTGGCAGAGGGAATGGAAAGAAGAAAGTTCAGCCTAAGAAGTCTCTGGATACCATAGAGTCTGATATTAACAGGCTGAAAGATAACATCTCTTCAGAACATTCCATATACAAAACATTAAAATGTTATAGCTTATCAGATTTAGACACTCTCTACTCTTTGAGTCAAAATAATACAGGATTGATTTACAACGTATTTTCCTCTTTCTGTTCAACATTTTCCCCCAAATACCATCAGAACAAATCTGAATCCAGTAATAGAGAATTTATAATTGTTCCATTTAATTGCAAATTCATTGATAATCTTAACCTAAAATCTATTTTCTCTGACACTTCAGTCATTGATTTGCTTCCCATTTTGATTCAGTCTTTTACACCATTACAGATTTATTATGAGTATAATGATCCTATAAGTCTTTCTATTTGTAACTATGCTTCATTCTTAAAGAAACTTTCTATTTCTGATATTAAATCTATTTTAGGTAGTCCATGCGATTGTCACTCCTCCCCTTTCAATTATCCTCCTCATGGACATGTAGTTACTGGTAATTTAGATATTGTTGATAATGTTGAACTTAGGGAAGTACTTTCCTACGGTTGTAAATACAGAATTCCCACATTTAAATCTCCAGATGAGATATATATGTCAGTTACCGAAGCTGTCGATAAATTTATAAAATCAAAAAGTAGAAAGTACTGTCAAAAAGAAGTAAAGTTCAGCGATTGGAAGGAAAAAGTGTTATCAATAGTTTCCAATCGTATTGAATATTACAAGAAAAACTTTCCTGAAACATTTGAAATAAAAGAAAACACACTGGAAAAAGATGATGTTAAAAGAAGTCTTAAATTGCTGAAAAGTAAATACATTATTTGTAGTATCGACAAAGCTTCTGGTAATTTTTCATTTATTTGTAAAAAGTTTTATGTAAAAACTCTTGTCAATGAAATGGGTTTTGATCCTAATACTCTAGAATGTATAGGTAATGATACATATAAACCCTGTAGCGAAGAAGAGACTCATTATGTCAATAAAATATCTGAGAGTCTAAAGGAGAGATTTAATGTACAAGTTGAAGATAAAAACTTGCGACTAGCACGCATCTTCTGGAACCCTAAGCTTCATAAGAACCCTTACAAGGCGAGGTTCATTGCAGGTGCCCGTTTTTGCGTTACGAAACAACTTAACGTCCAAGTTAACTGTTGTCTGAAACTTTTGAGGAAATACTTCAAGAAATACTGCGAGGCAATCTACAACAACAGCGGTATAAACATGTTTTGGAGCATAGATTCCTCAAGTGAATTCCTTGAAGCTATCAAAAATAGCGATGTTTATAATATACAAGTATATGATTTTACTACTCTTTATACCAGATTAGACTTGATTGAAGTAGAGAATATGATTAATGAAGTTGTTGATTTAATATTTTCAGACCGTAATAGATATATTTGTATTTCTAAAAGAGACAGTAATACATGTTTCTTTTCCAATAAAACCTATGATTGTCATGCATGCTTTAGTCAAGATGACCTAAAAGAGGCTGTTAAATTTATTATTTATAACACTTATGTCGTCTTCGGTGGGATTGTATTCATACAAACCAAGGGTATTCCTATGGGTGGAAATTCAAGTTCCCCTATAGCTGATCTCACTGTTGGCAAAAAGGAATTTAATTATATGAAACGTTTACTTCAGGAAAAGAAAATGGGATTAGCAAAGATATTATCCAATAATAAACGATATGTTGACGATTTATCTATTATTAACTACCTTTACTTTCATAAATTGATTAAAGATATTTATCCTAATTCATTGGAGATGGAGCGAGCTGGTTCCAATAATAAAATCATTAACTACCTTGATTTAAATATTAATATTTCCACAGAAGGACTAGAAATATCAGTGTATAACAAAACTGATGATTTAATTTTCATGTTGTATCCCTTACATTTCCTCACAGTAACATCCCAACCGAGGTTGGCTACAACGTTTTTTCAAGTCAAGTTCTTAGATATGGTAATGTTTGCACTAGATTGGATATCTTTACCTCCCATCTTCACAAAATATTCAAAATTCTAGTTGATAGAGGATATAGCCGTGATAGACTGATTAAAGGCATTAAACGTTGTCTGAGGAAATATGATAACGTTTTCAGGAAGTTCGGTATTCTAGATGACCGTAACATTATTAAAGAACTCCCCTGATATCTTTTGATTTATTGAAACACGGGTACTAACTCTGCTAAACTGAACAAATTCTGAAACTTAGGTGAATAAGTGTACAACGTGCTAAACCGAAGTTCAGACTGACCAGTGAAAATGGGCGAGCGTACCAAGTGTCATTTTAATTAGAAGTTTTAGTCAGTGATTTATTATTGAAGCTTGTAATTACAATATCTAATGCTCCTATAAATACTTCAATTAATTGTTTGTCCCGTTATTCTTTTTCCTTCCTCTTTTCCTTGTCATCCCCTTTAGTTTTAAGATTCTTGCTATAAATGGCTACAGCAAACACTATTAATGCTAAGTACCAAACAACAAGTGGGAGGTGGATCGTTGGTACCATTAAATCGATTTAACACCGCAATTCCAGTCGCAAGCCTGGGACCACTACTAGCATAGTCACAACTCTACAAAGCTGCCATATAGCCTGACTGACAATTTTCTCGACTGACTGACAATGTTTCTTCTTTTTCCCCATTTAGAATACAAAGATTAGTACATTTTAGCTTATGATTAATATTATATTTTTACCTATAGTTTACTTAGATTACAGGATCGTTGACATATTACGTAATCACGTCCTGAACAACGTTTAATTTGACCCCCCCCCCCCCCCCCCCCCCCCTCTCGGTGATTCCGTATTATGTGAACGACCGCTAATATGCTTACATCGAGGTAGTGCTTACTGATTTATAGCAACATTTATCATAGCAGCTTGTTTTTAAATCACTGTTTCTTATGATACAAGTTCCGTTACCATTCGTATCACACATAGTAATAAATTACGTATAGTAGTATTACTCGTCGGGAAAAACCCTGGTTCTTTTTGTAGTAATTGTGCGGAACGCGCTTGCGCCGAATCAAAAATATGTGTGAAAGTTTTTCTTGCGCGCATTTACTGTGACATAATGTGTCACGTGATAATCTGAAACTTTGAATAGTCATAACACCAAGAGATAGGCAACAGAGGTAAATCTGGCTACGTAATATCGTCAAGTAGGTATCTAGGAGTTTTGTGAATATTTTGAAATCAAATTCGAGCGGGTATTTTGTGATTTAGCGAGGTGCGCGGAAAAAAGCAAATAACCGTCAGCACATGGCTATACAGCCTCCATAGTGGCATCTGAGATCGGCTATCGATGCGGCACTACTTACTAGTCCATACAACAATCATCCCAGGAGCCTAATGGCTCCAGCAGAAGAGTGCCTTATTTGCCCGTAAGAGCCTCTACTACTAAAATTAATATACTTTTTGTTTAAATACAATTACATTGTACATGTCACATAATTGGGTAGTTGAATGAAACTTGTGCTACAAACGTCTACAAAAAATCATGTACTGATCAGTACTTCATTCTGCTTGATATGAGCGGTACCGATGTTCATAGAGGCGCGCGCTCAATCATAAATAATGAGCGCGCGGTTTTTGGAATCTCTCCGTTATTTATATTGTTGGCATTGCAATGTTCACGGCCTGTAGTGTGCCTTCACCTAACCATGTGCTTTCGCGCCACTGCGGGCACGCTTGTTTCACAACACACAAGTTACCGCTGTGGTGGGTACTGCGCGCTAGTGCAAACGCAAGGGCTTTGGATAGAGCAATACTGCATGCGCCAACGACAAAAAATTTTATAAAAATTATTCTGCTTCAAGTAAAAAATTTTGGCTCTAGTAATTAATAAATGTAATATGTAATTGTAAAATTGCTCTAACCAGAGCCCTCTCGCTTGCAGTAGCGCGCGACCGCCGAAGGCGGCAAAGATATATATTCTATTTGTAAAACAAGCGCGTCACGCAGTACGTACGCGTATACACATGGCTATGTGAAATTGTAAGATAACAATCAAATAAATCTTGCACGCGGCGCATGCAGCCACACTTAAGGATTTTTCAACAATTTGTGGCTGCATATATGGTTTAAATTCAAATTTGAATTTATTTATGAATATAATATTATGTATTGATTGACCTTACCGCCTGCCGGGCTCGCTAGAGGTGATCGATTTTTAACAGCACGTCTGCACGTTTGTCCTCGCGCGTCTCATCAAGTTTACCTTTCGCATGCTGCATTTAGCTTAGTAATTAATTGACGATATCAATTCATGGCAGCTCGGCGCGGCACAGTAGCGCATCTCGCCGATCTCGCTGTGTGAAGCCTCATTGAGTGCGCGGCGCGGCACAGTAACGCATCGCGCTACAAGCCTAGTATGTAGTAGTCATGCAGATAACGACATTACTTTGCAAAGTTTAAAAGCTGCGATCTTTTATTTAGCCCAAAATCAAACTTTTCGGTTTAATTCAGAATCTAAGTTGTCCCAAATTTTGCTCCTAAGGAGCTAAATTTAAATTTACGAGTCGGAAATTTTGTTGAAAACCGGAAGGTTCTATTTATTTTACTTTTGCATTTTAGAGATATACCCCAGCCGGTAGGGTTTGCTGGGGTAGCTGACAAGTGACAAATCAAACTAGCTGTGTAATTTCACGACGTTTAAATATATATCCTCAAAGTCACATGACTCATAAAACAACAGTACAATAAACGCTATTAAACAAAAGTCGCAGGTATGTATCTAGTTGAAGATAAAGGTAAAAGACTAAAACAGCAATAGACACGTGACCATCTGAGAGTAAAGGCCCGTAAAAATAACAAAAACACGTGATAAAATCTAAAATACTCTCTAATGTTCCACGAGAAATCCGCCCCAAACAATAAACTCAGAAGGTATAACTGAGTGATAACTTAAACAGGAAGGTATGTAAATGGTTAAGATAGAGTACTTAAACGTGTTAGGTCCATTAAAATGAATCTGCCGAAAATAAAATAAAAATTAGCAAATTAAAACAATTTTGTTGAAATGTTGGCTGCATCATGTTCAACAGTAAAAAAATAAATTTTACGCGACTAAACTAAATAATATATCTCACAAATTCAAAATCTAAAGTAAATACAATCGAAAATCGCTCAAAGTTATGGTAATGGATATCGCATTCTTAAACTGTAAATTTCGTTGATTTTCAAAACTAACCATTTCAAAAAAAATTGCACACGCTTAAACGTCTTTACATTTCCAATTACATATTACGTATTGTGTTTAAATTAAAATCAACATATCAATAATATCAAATATAATCTACTTTACTAACCACTTACCGTTCCGGAGTCAAATATACATCGAAAAGTAATACCATAAAAACTTCGTAATAATAATGATAATAATAAGTAATAATATAATAATCATCATCATCCATATTTTCTCTAAATCTACTCATAACAACATCGCGTTAACTCTAGTTCCAAAATAAATTGAAAACCTAAACCGTGAGTGTAAACATATCTCCTTAATAGCTTCCGGAAAGTTTTGCGCTGCTTAAATTCTGTGATACCCGCAAACCTTGCTCTACCCGTTTGATATACAACCTGAATAATTCCTTAATTAAAGTCTAGTTAAAACGCTACAAAACGTGGCATCGGATGCTGTGAGGTATCCTTGACGTCACGCCCTGTGCTCTGACACGTGAGACGCATCATGACGTCACGTGGTACTGGACGTGGACTGTCCGACTGACTGCTGGGATGTTATTCCCCCGAGAAGTGAGGTCCTCTGTTTCTGTTTCCGCTGTTGCGTCATCTGGAAAAGGTAAGGGTAGAATTACAACGTATTTATACCGTAGTTGGAGAATTTATTGGTATTGCCCAACTCGACATAATTTTAATAACAATCAAAGAATAAATTTTTAAAAATTATTTATTCACGATACTAAAATACAGAATATAAAATAAGTTCTTAGATACCTGGTCTTTGAGTTCCTGGAGCTGTTTAGACAGTGACTCAACATAGGTCTTTGTGCTCTCCAACGTGACCTTGAGGTCCCTAAACTCATTCTGGTCGTTCTCTGCTTCGTCCGAGCACAGAGACATTGCTCGCATCCTCGGGAACCAGTCCAGTTTTTTATTCTGGGGTGAGACAGGGTCATAGTCAGTCAAGGCTCGATGTAGTTCTACTTGAAATTTTAAATGCAAAACTAAAAAGAACAGCATAATCTTAGAGTATAGATAAAGATATTGTGTTATACCTCCGATGTTAGTGATTAAAATTCAATTAATTATTTTATTTCATCTTCATTTATATCAAATGTTGATTTCTTAGGTAGCCTTTATAATAGCAACCAATCAATCGAAAGAAACTATTAAAGTATAAATAAAACAAATAACGAAGTTACCTTGACCATCTCGTACACATAACTTTCAGGCCCGGTAAACTCTGTCGGATCCTTTACTTTTATCAGGACTATAAAGTATAGGTAGTGCCACAAATTGTGTTCCATACGGAAATGCTCTTCAAAGGAGACTGTTTTATTGTCGAAAGCACCACGTTCCAAACTGAAATAATTACATAGCTCAATTTCTACGTCCAGAATGTTGACACAATCATTTGTATCAGATGGCTTGAGTCTCAAACTTCGCGGCAGAGTTACAAACAACATAAATAGTCTGAAATACGCCGTATTTAATTTTGAAAAACAAAGACATTCTAGGAAGCAAGATTACATGTTATTAGGCTTTGTGAAAGCGTAACCCATAGCATACCTGCAAATGAAACAAGTGTTTCTCAGAATCTCGTCTTTTTCCTGTTTCTCACTCCTCAAATCGGCGAAGGTGTCGATGATAACACCAAAAATGAGGTTCAAAACTATAATGATGACAACGAAGAAGAACAGTAGATCGTAGATGATTCGGGGGAAGAACCTGGAAATAATTAGTGAAATAATTATTAAATAAATAATTGACAGTTGATAAATTGCGACTTTATGATAATTAATTAATCAAATCTTCGTAATATGTATTATAGTATTAGTATTGAGGTATTGTACGTTTAATGAAAAATTCGCTTTAATCGTATAACAATCTTATATTTAATATCCGGATAGGACAATTATTCACCAGTCACATTTATGTTCAGTGTTTCAAACAAACAATAATTATAACTTAATTTTTTTAAAACATAAATAAACTGACAAGAGTTCCGAGATGTTGGGTCTCCTCAAGACGTCACCAATACCTCCACCGTTCCTGACTCCCTGGTTCAGGGTGGTGATGATACAGAGGAAGAGAGTGTCGCACATCCTCACCATGATCGGCTCTCCGTCTTCACCTCCTCCTTCCTCCTCCTGTAACGGTGAGGTTAGGTAACAAGTTCAGTGATGGATATATACACTTGTCCCTCTTTTAAAGATTAACAATAATAATGACAAGAGTGGCGAAACCATTTTTGATATTACATAGATATCGAAAATTTCCGGCTTGAAAGCATCGAAAGTACTAATTTTAGACGATCACGAGATGAAAAATGATCGCATGAATTAAAAAGTTAATGAGCTTATCTGAATATCTGATGCGATGACATGATAATAAGCCAGTTTAACTAACCACTGCAATAGTTGCGGTATCCTCCTGGGGACCTGGTCCCAAACAAGAACATTTCACAGCATCCCACAGTTTCTCACAGTCGAGGGCCAAGGCAGCCTTTTCCTCGTCGGAGAAGGCAGCGCATGTCTCCTCCATTCCTTCCGTCACCATTCCACTCAGAGTTGCTGGGGTTTGTTATGTTATTTTTGGACAGACACCGGTCATCACATGTGGTCTGGTCTTCTTGAACCTCGAATGAAAACTTTAAGTTTCTCTCACCTCCAAAAAAAACAAAACTTGAAACAGCCAGACAAAATCATAGAGGAAATTAAAAGTTGTTATATTACGTAATACTAGGCTTACATGGTTCAGCTATTTCAAGGTGTGCTGGATTTCCGAAGTTGAGGGCGTTCATAAAGCTAGTGATATGAGTGGCTCCTTCTGGTGAAGGATCTACCTCCATCACAAAGTCATCTGAAATAAATATAAATAGTAAATACAGTCAACAACATAAATTGTTTCTGATTTAAATACACATATCACGAATCTGACAGAAATATCTCACATACATAGTAAACACGTGGGAGTGTGATATTGAACTGACCGCGAAGGAAGATGAAGCCAACAACAGAGAACAAGTAGACAAGGATGAGGGCCAGTATCGTGGTCAACAGGATGGATTTACCATTCCTTGTCACTGACCTGATGACGTTCAGCAGCGTTTCTTCTCGGATAATAATGTCCAACATCTGCAACAAGTGATTATATTATTTTCTTATCGAGTACTATGGTAAATTACGATTTTAGACAAAACCAAAGCCAAATGAGCAAAAATCGTTGATTCTATCAACGATCTACTAAAGTGAAAGTGAAAGTATAAACTGACCAATATACTGTAGAAGAAGTTGTGAACAACAAGTCCAAGTATACAGAGCACCATGTAAACGTTACGGTACAACAATTCTCCGTCTCTCTTCAGGTTTTCTCTTTTAAACCCTCTGTTTCCCAGGTAACTGATCAGGTACATGGCTTTACCAACCACCTAGTAATATTTACTAGTTACTAGTTATTAAACAATAGTTGTTGTTAGTCGTTAATGTTTCTATCAGTTTGCCTCTAGAACATTGAAATTTACTCCTTCATTTAATCTTCCATTAAAATTGTGTTTTAAAAAACTAATATAATACCTTAACTAGACGGCACGCACTAGGGTATGTACATTGTACATACCCTAGTGCGTGCCGTACAATGTACATTGTACATTGTAGCATGAGCCGTTTACCGCAGCCTGGACCTACCTGACAAAGTCCCAGGAAAGTAAGAGTAAAGTTCATCCCGGCGGTGATCTTGAGCCGCGCTATACTGAACACGACGAGCATGGAGATGGTCTTGCTGTTGGGAGTCAGGTAACACAGAGCACCTAACACCACTAACATCAGCCACACAAACACAGATATTGAGGTCGGGATTTCCTCTGAAGTTAAGGAAATGGTTAACGAGATAATATGAGCATAATATGTGGAGCTGTGATCTAATTAGCTAATTAATAATAATTAACATCACAAATGGTGACACTGAATCTAATGACACATGATGCATGAAAATGTTGATATAATTTGAAAATGTTGATATAATTTGACTCTCCAAGTTTTTACCTTCCACCATGGGGAATGGGTAGAAGAGAGCGACCAGTGAGTTACAGATAACAGCTAGTAAGAAGACGATGTTTGCCCACAGGGGCATGTTCCTACTGATAGCATACAACAGCGGGTTATCTGAAATGTTATATTATGTGAATAATGTAAAATATTTAAAATAATAATATGAAGAATTTGATTAACTTCTAGATGAAATGCTCTTATATATCATAATTATCGGATAATTAGAAATATTTCATTAGCAAACTAGAACCAGTCTCCAAAACACAAACCTCGGAGTTTCTTCTGCCAGATCATCTCGTTAAAGAGGTCATCAGTACGGGAGAAGAAGTCAGTGACCTTGCTGCCCTGTTCATCTCGCTCAGCTGTGTAGAGGACCTTCAGTTTACTGGTTTTAGTCAGGTAATTACAGATGGGCGGAACCTGGAACACGATCCTTTCCAGTGATCTGTCGTATCGTACAACCTGAAAGTGAAAGTGATGTATAAAAATTTTTGTGGGGTTCAGTTACCCTTAGGTCGGCGGTGATACGGTATCCTCTTCTGACCCATCATTTTGGATCAGAAATATTTGAAATAAATTCTGATCCATTGTTGGACCTGAAAACTAACCTCAATCTGAGCAGTTCGTTTGGAATAGTAATCGAGAGCAGGGTCTGAGAGTCTGCTAGCTTCGTTAATAAATCCTCTACACAACAAGTGAGCCAGCTCCTTGTTATACTCTGATAGCTGAAAGTTAGAGACAATGTCAACTACCACGCAACTTTTTGATGAATATTTACAGTATGACTTGAGATGCTTATCGTGATCCCGACTTTGTTTCGAGCCAAAATCTTTTTCAAGTTAACTTAATAATCGAAAGAAATAAGTGAATATAAAGCGTCATTGAAAGTGAAAGTGGGTAAGGGACCTGATAAGCGAGGATGCAGAATATGTGAAAGTGAAAGTGAAAGTGGGTAAGGGACCTGATTTAAAGCGAGGATGCAGAATATGTGAAAGTGAAAGTGAAAGTGGGTAAGGGACCTGATAAGCGAGGATATAGATGTTGTGTCCAACTTCATGAGGGGTGGCCTCATCGTCACCGATCTCTTCCTCCGCATCCAACGGGTCGATATCCTCAGCACTACTCCCTGTTAGTTTACACGTCAATACTTAGTAAGTCAATAGAAAGTTCTGGAAATGGAGAATCCTACACTGATTAGTACGCTATGAATAAAGAATAGTCTCAGAATCTAATTAGTGTACATGTAGTAAATAAACATGTTAATGATAAATATCATGATGAATGTTTTTATCTTTATTACGTGTTATGCAACAAAAAATCAGCTAGCTAGCGTTGAAAATGGGCGTTTTGTATTGATGAAAGAAGGAACAAAAACAAAACAAAAGATTCTGCCCGGAAGAAAGAACTAGTTAAAATTAATTACCACGTACTAAACTTAACAAATCTTAAAAACATTGATAATAACATAATAAATTATCTCAGAAAACATCAGCCAGCCGTAAAATTAAAAAAGATAAAAACAGGGCGTCTCGTAATGGTACTGGGACGCTACACACAGAATGCTTTGAACACATAGTGCCACGAGACTCACCACCCTGAACCTCATCAGCCTCACCAGTATTGTAAGCCTGTCTGATGGCGTTCACAAGGTAGGACGGCTGGATATTCTGCATGATTCGCTCAGCCATGTCGGAGTCCTGCCTGCTCTCCATGATGGAGAGGAGGAGTTTGGCGGCGTCGTTTTTTAGTTGGAGGACAAGTGACATTCGTCTTTTGGCTAGTGGGTTGATGTCGTTCAGCACTATGGCTACTATGATGTCTATTCCGTTGCTTTCTTGATATGCGATGGCGGTCTGAGAAAAGATGAATTTCGTCATTGAAAAATATTGAGTAAAACTAAAAACTTGATCTGATCAAGCAGTTGTGGTATAAGGAACATGATTAATTGCTATGTTGTTACCTGGAGCACCCAACAGAAAAAAGTGAAGAGAAACAAATACTGTACGTTGATCAATGGGATTCTATGAATGAACAATTAACTTTTAATTAGTAGACATTCAAATAGTGCTATGAGTTCTATGATTAAATTAAGATAGGTAATGGCACGATAATTCACCTGATTTTCGGGGCAAGGACCCTGGCAGAACTCAGTGAGAGTACAGAGACACTGGTCGACTAGCTCGAAGTTACCCTCGTTGATATAGAGTCCCAGCAGGCCCAGACCTCCTGTTGTTCCACCACATAACGCATCTATCAGCTCCAGAGTCTCGTTTACCAGGTTGTACGAGTTTTTGTTGTCCTGGGGTTATGTTGTTATAGTGAAAGTGAAAGTAGTTGTTGTTTTCCTGGGCTTATGTTGGCATAGTGAAAGTGAAAGTAGTTGTTGTTGTCCTGGGCTTCTGTTGGCATAGTGAAAGTGAAAGTAGTTGTTGTTGTCCTGGGCTTCTGTTGGCATAGTGAAAGTGAAAGTAGTTGTTGTTTTCCTGGGGTTATGTTGTTATAGTGAAAGTGAAAGTAGTTGTTGTTTTCCTGGGGTTATGTTGTTGTAGTGAAAGTGAAAGTAGTTGTTGTTTTCCTGGGGTTATGTTGTTATAGTGAAAGTGAAAGTAGTTGTTGTTTTCCTGGGGTTATGTTGGCATAGTGAAAGTGAAAGTAGTTGTTGTTTTCCTGGGGTTATGTTGTTATAGTGAAAGTGAAAGTAGTTGTTGTTTTCCTGGGGTTATGTTGTTATAGTGAAAGTGAAAGTAGTTGTTGTTTTCCTGGGGTTATGTTGTTATAGTGAAAGTGAAAGTAGTTGTTGTTTTCCTGGGCTTATGTTGGCATAGTGAAAGTCAAAGTAGTTGTTGTTGTCCTGGGCTTCTGTTGGCATAGTGAAAGTGAAAGTAATTGTTGTTGTCCTGGGGTTATGTTGGCATAGTGAAAGTGAAAGTAGTTGTTGTTGTCCTGGGCTTCTGTTGGCATAGCGAAAGTGAAAGTAATTGTTGTTGTCCTGGGGTTATGGTGGTATAGTGAAAGTGGAAGTGGAAGTGAAAGTAAACAATATATGGTACATTTCAGCGGATATGATTATAGAGGAGGACGTTTTGATTTTCACAACTTCACACAGAAAGTGGAATCAGTTAACGTGAAAAGTAGTTAACCTGTTTACGAAGATAGTTCTGGAGTTGAAGGTTATGATTCTCACAGAGAAGCTGCAGGAACCTCAAGACGTGTGTCATTTCCATCACCTGGAGTGTGGCCAGATTGTTAACAGAAAAACGAAAATAGTCTTTCTGTCAAAAAATGTAAAAATACAAAATTCATAACGTAAAATATAGGGATGCTCTTATGAATGAGTATTCCCAAGTTGAACCCACCTCCGCACCCACTCCATCAAGTCCAATCTCTTTATACTGAGGGTCGTCATCTTCTGGTTTCCTGAGGGCAGCCATGGCAGCTTTACTGGCACTGGCAGCTTGAGATAGGGCATCCTGGTGAAGAGAAACCGTGTTAAGTTGCTGGTATATGGACCTGGTATGTTTGTGCAGCAAATATTATACATAGTTTAAATGAATATCCCGGTATAAATATCCCAGATAATTAAAAAGTCGAGGATCAAACTGCAGGCAAGATTGAAGATTATACGTGATGAGAAATCCCACTATAGAAGCTAGAAATGTACCTGCGATCAACAGAATCATGCGAATCGAATGAAGACAGCTTAATAGGAATTAAGAGATTTAATAAAGTTATTTGTAAGCCTATAACATCCTCATTCCTTTGTGCAATGTGCAGCTTATACCCGCATTCCTTTTGCAGCTTGTTCGGTCGCTAGTCGCTAAAGACTTGGCTATGGTAGGGGAACCGAAGCACGATCACAATTGCTTTGACTTCTTTCTGTGTCAAAACTTTAGTGTTCTACATCCCCAACTATAGCCGAACTGATGTCAAATTTGTAAAAGCGTGAGCTAAATTGAATGCCTTGCGTAGCTTTATTGTCACAAAAGATCCTGTTTTAAGCGATTCTGCGTAAGAATCAGGTCGAATAAGCGAGAAATAATTATCCTTAAAATCCGTCAGCTGCAGATCCGATGCAGGATGCGCAGTTCAATCAAGGTAGCGGAGAGCATTCCAGAATTTTCAGAAAAATCCTCTCCCAAAAAGATTGAGAATTTTCCAGAGAATTGAAGAATATTGCGGGTGATTTGTTTGTTTTAATATTGTATGGAGAGAGCTGCGAGTTGACCTGATCATAAGGAACCCTGTTGTCGTCGTCAGTTCCATGTAGTTGAGCAGGGATACTCCCTACACCTTCCTACAGGTGTTTATATTGGTTTCTACTTTTCTTACTTCAGCTTAATTACTTAATTAACTCACGCTCTATAGTTTATTTTGAACAAAACTCAAGTATGCATAATTAAAATCTGAAATAACTTCAGTTTAAGAACACTTAAGCTTAATATAACTAAAATTATATTAATTAATTGTTAAACAATCAAGACTTTTTATCTGCAGTTGTAACTACTATTTTATAACAAGTTTTTTTCTAAATTTTGGGAAATTTTAGCGAAAGATTTAAGTTCTAAAGCTGTTAACGCCACAAAGAGTTTTTCATGTCTGTCTTTCCGTGAGCAAAGGGGGCCATTCCAATGATATTTCTTAGGATTATAATATAATAAATAACGTGAGACAAAGTAATGAATTTGCAGAAGTCAATCTAGCATAGAGTAATAAGATATAAATGATAAATGATAAAGAATAGAAAAATGATATCGAAGTGTCGAAGATTTTTAATCAAAAAGTGACGAAGAAGGCTCTCGCTTCGTGTGTGGCGTGATTCCGACGGCCAACACGTGTTTACACAGGCGAAATCTTAAGAATTAAACAAAACAGTTACAAATAACGGTTGCAACGGCAAAACAACGGCCGCCAACCGGTTATAAACAGCTGCTTACCTGCATGTCATCCACCCTGGCTTTGTTGTTGCCCTGCCCGGTTACATCTGTAGTTGCCACTGCGTGACAACTCTTGATCTCCGCGATTGCTTTTTCCATCTTTGTGAAGATCGTGTAAAAGAACTGCTCCGAGTTTTGGTTTACGAAACGTTCGTGGAAGGACCGCTGAATGGAAGATTGTCAGAAGAGTGTTAGGATAAAGGTAAGAATGGGACACATTTTAGCAGCAAGGTTGTAAAGTAACCTAAAGTAAGTAGGTTCAATAAGTCAGAAAACTCATAATTATCCTACTAAATTAGGATTTACAACTTTTTCCTTGATTGAAGACCCAGAAAGGGCTAGATAATAAAGTTTTACGAACAGTTGTTCGTAGTGTCTAGGGTCTAAATTATATCGATCAAGTATCATCATACTCATTATACTTAGCATTATAATTGGCATTATAATTGGCATTATAATTGGCATTATAATTGGCATTATAATTGGCATTATAATTGGCATTATAATTGGCATTATAATTGGCAATGGCAGAAAGATAAAGACTATTAGCCGATTTAGCCGCCAAGCTAACGGGTGAGTTTGCCAATGATATAGCGTTTTTTCAGATGAGTGACATATTTAGTGTTTAAATAGCTATAGGTATATAGCGCTTTTTCAGATGAGTGACATATTTAGTGTTATAGCTATAGGTATATAGCTAGCCGATGAAAAGAGGCTGTTGACCGGCGCTCACGCCCTATTTTGCTGAAAGAAGGAATTGCTAACTTAACGTACATCAGTTAAACAAGCTTCGAATGATCGCTGGGTGAAAAAAAATTATTATTAATTAGACAGTAGACACATTCCATCAGTTCAAAATGTAGATTATTCTAACTGTAAATGCGAAATATCGTAATGATCAAATGAGGGATAATTGCACCAACCTGGATGAGTGGGTTGCCTCCCTCGAGTAGTGATATACCCAGTTGTAAACTCTCGTGAAAGACGGCCGGACTGGACGCTGATATTACTAGCTTTATAAACAGCTCTGTTGCTCCGGCGCTGTCCAACAAACATTGCACCTGTCAGGGTTTTAGTTGAGAACTCAACTAATTATAGTCACAAACCCAGCCTCATCAGAATAAATACATAAATATTGAGATGTGGGGCTTATTCGTCCAATTCTTATTATCTCCACCGAGATATTTCGCTTTTATTCACTGGTGATATTGGCAGAAGGATACCAGGGAACTATTTCCAACATCTCAGGTAAATTGCAGAACGTTCCTGCAGTACGTACCTGGAACAAGGTGAGGTCGTCCCTAGCCACGCTGACTGTGTTGCTTTGCTTTATCTTGGTGCACCAGTCCTCCTCCTCGTCCTCCTGCTCACCTGGATACGGAGTTTTAGGGGTCCTCCACAGGGGCCGGGGGGGGGGGGGGGGGGGGGGGGTTCTCCACAGGGGCCTGGGGGGTCTTCCACAGGGGCCGGGGGGGTAAATAATGATCAAACAAACATCAGATAGGGTTACAATTAAATTGTCGGGATTTGTTATAAACATTACATAAATCCAACCTAATTAAATAAACCATGTCATATAATCGGAAAATTATTATGATTTGCACGGAAATCACCCGGAAATTACCTTCGTCATCATTTCCGTGTTCACCGATAGCACCGTTAGTGCTCTCGACTACGCTGTCTCCATAGTAACGCTGAAGCAGCCTCATACGTAAAGCTAATGCCTGAAATTAATTTACATAATAGCATTTATTTTAACTGAATCAGCTTATAAATGCTAGTTGAAGAAAAAAATAAAATACGGGCATCAGCAACTGATGATAATGTAGAGAAAAATATGCACATAAATATTTCTTAAATTTCATAAATCTGCTGATAATCTTACGTCGGGAGTAAACTGGAGGTTGGTTTTCATCATACACCGGATGGTGTTGAGGAGTCTAATGATGAGTCCCTCGTCTATATTCTCCAACATCTTCTCGCAGTGGTTGATCAGCTTGCTTACAAAACCTCCTCCAGAACACTGTACCTGTCATGTGATCAGTTTTAGAGTGGGTGACTCTAACGCTCTCTGAGCTGTTTTACACTTAGAGTATGAGATCGAACTGTAACTATCTACACTATATTCATGATTTTATTAAAGCTTTTTTGCGAGCCAAAGTAACTCTTGTCTACATTTAGTATAGATGTGAGATTGGAATATCAAATTACCCGACTCTCACTGTCCTCCGGGAAAAGGCGGTCAGGACGGTGCATCACATCCACCAGGACACTCTTCTCAGCCTCAACTTGCGGCCTCATCTCCTCCTCAAACAAACTCACTATGTCCTGAAACAGTTTAGTTGGTTAATAATTGTGTTGTGGAACTATTTTCCGTGGAAAACGAAACTGTAGGCTTATCAAAAGGTACCGCAAAGGCAAGGGCGTTAAAAGGTTAACCATTTACATATTATCAGGAAAATGTTCTGGAATTCCATAGTTATATTTTTCTGAAGAGACTTATAAATTGCAAAACTTATAAATTGCGAATGCCACAGTAGCTATCAAGAAATTTATGGACAGATGTTCCTATGGCTTGATAGCTTTTTTCATTAAACTTTTATTTGGACTTCAAAATGGCCGAAATTCCAAGTTTAAAGATGTAACAATGAGGATCCAACCTTCTCTAGGGCTATTATTTCTGTGAATATTGTGTTCATAAAATGTCCAGCAATATTTTACACCATTTACACGGACGTATATGCAAGGATACAAGAATACAAACGAAATAATTACTTTAATATTGAATTCACAATACTTGTTATTCTGAAATGTTTTAGGTTATATCGTAATTATTGCTGAATAAAGTTGTCTAAAGCTATGTATAAGAATGATATTCAGTAAGCACTTTATGGAGAGTATAAAATGAACTGCTCTAGAAAAGGAGAAAATTCTATTTGGTTAAGAGAGAAACGCTGCTGGGAGGGAAACCAAATTATTGAATATCCAGGTTTTAACAATAACGTGTTCATTATCAGTACCTGAAGACCCTCAATGATGGTCCGATAGTCTCTACTTCCTCCGAGCCCAGAGGGTCGCCTACTCCTCACTCTATCCATCCACTTGTTTCCTATACGGTTACCAAGGATAGACCGGTTCAACAAGGAACTCATTTGCGCGTTCAGATCTGCTGTTATCACAATCTTCCTCTCGTTTGCTGAAAGTGGACATGTTAAGGGGACATCTAACAGGGTTTAGGATATTTGTTGGAGGAAATATGTGGCCCTGGTTTTTGCATACAAAGTCTCAAAAGTCAAAACCCTCCGACAAATCGCAAATAAACGAACCTATTTCAGAGAGAGTCTTGATGCAGTTCTCCACGTGGAACTTCTGTTCCCCGGACAACCAATCACATCTGCTCAGCTGGAATGCTCCTTTTAACAACCTCATGAACATGGGCTGACGTGCCTGCAGGATATTGATTAATTATTGTAATTCTAAGAAATGTGGATCAAACTTAAAGCTCTATCGTGTGACTGCACGTGAGCAACAAAAAGGGTGCCACGATGGAATTAATTGTATTAGTAATTAATGTTAAGAGTTAGAGTAAGAGCACTTATAACAAAGTTATTGGAGTCTTGAATAAATTCAGAGGCCATGTCATGAAAAAATTGGGTCATAAAATGAGGTTGAAAGCTAGGAGTAAAAGCAGACTGCATATAATGAGGATTCCCGCACTTACATTGCTGGTGGAACTGTCCGAGAATGGGGAGGAAAAGAAGGAAGTTATAATCTGCATGACAGGGATGGTCACGTACTGTTCTAGAACTATTTCGTGTCTAGAGGTAGGGCGGCCGTTGTTGGCTACCTGGAGGGAAATAGGTTTTCAGTTTTAGCATCGGTGTTGTTTCACCACCTTAGTGGTGTTACTTTAGCACTTTACTGGAGGGGTAAAATTGTGAAATATTAATGATGGATAACAGTATGTCCTAAACTTTCTGATCTTTAGATGCTTCAGATAGTTTGCGAAATATTAATGATGGATAACAGTATGTCCTAAACTTTCTGATGTTTAGATGCTTCAGATAGTTTGCGACGTTCCTGATTTTTCCAAAAAGTTAGAAATGTAATCGAATTAACAGTATTATTCAAAGTATGGCGAGTAAAAAAGAGGTGTGGATGAAAAATCTCATATCCTTCATTGAAATAATATCCACTTAGATCAATTAGCCGTCTGCCTAAGTGCCAAGCATTTTTACTGATTCGTTATTCGCTAAATTAAATAAGTCTAACAAGTGAAAGAATCCGACATACTATATAATTTATGACACAAAAGCAGTTATTAAGTAGCTATATGTAGATAAAATTCACGATTTAATTAACAATTTGCAGCCGAAACCTTTTGGTTTTTGTCAGCTTATTATACGTTATTAGCCAACCTGGAAGGTATATCATAACTCACGCTAACTTCTGGTCTTATAAGACTTCAACAGGTACAAAAGTGTAAAATCATCAACCCTCCCCACCACCCGACTTCAGCTAACTACATTAGTTCCAAATATCCTTGTTATGTACTACATTAGTTCCAAATATCCTTGTTATGTACTGCATTAGTTCCAAATATCCTTGTTATGTACTACATTAGTTCCAAATATCCTTGTTATGTACTACTTTAGTTCCAAATATCCTTGTTATGTACTACTTTAGTTCCAAATATCCTTGTTATGTACTACATTAGTTCCAAATATCCTTGTTATGTACTAATTTAGTTCCAAATATCCTTGTTATGTACTACATTAGTTCCAAATATCCTTGTTATGTACTACATTAGTTCCAAATATCCTTGTTATGTACTACATTAGTTCCAAATATCCTTGTTATGTACTACTTTAGTTCCAAATATCCTTGTTATGTACTACATTAGTTCCAAATATCCTTGTTATGTACTACATTAGTTCCAAATATCCTTGTTATGTACTACTTTAGTTCCAAATATCCTTGTTATGTACTACTTTAGTTCCAAATATCCTTGTTATGTACTACTTTAGTTCCAAATATCCTTGTTATGTACTACATTAGTTCCAAATATCCTTGTTATGCACTAAATTAGTTCCAAATATTCTTGTTATGTACTACTTTTATGAACTATCTTCACCAAGAGAGTGTTGGTTTGACCTCTGCGTTGCTGTCGAGTTAGTGTTAATTAACCTTGTGGTTTTTACTTGATTTTAAGTTGTCCTAACTGCCACTCATACACCGGTACACTATATCTCTTCCGGGGACTAAATGTTTCTGTGATAACACTCTGTGGATTCAGAGGGTAGATCTCACAGATAACAGAGTCTAAGTAAACTATAGGTAAAAATATAATATTAATCATAAGCTAAAATGTACTAATCTTTGTATTCTAAATGGGGAAAAAGAAGAAACATTGTCAGTCAGTCGAGAAAATTGTCAGTCAGGCTATATGGCAGCTTTGTAGATGTTGTGACTATGCTAGTAGTGGTCCCAGGCTTGCGACTGGAATTGCGGTGTTAAATCGATTTAATGGTACCAACGATCCACCTCCCACTTGTTGTTTGGTACTTAGCATTAATAGTGTTAGCTGTAGCCATTTATAGCAAGAATCTTAAAACATAAGGGGATGACAAGGAAAAGAGGAAGGAAAAAGAATAACGGGACAAACAATTAATTAAAGTATTTATAGGAGCATTAGATATTGTAATTACAAGCTTCAATAATAAATCCCTGACTAAAACTTCTAATTAAAATGACACTTGGTACGCTCGCCCATTTTCACTGGTCAGTCTGAACTTCGGTTTAGCACGTTGTACACTTATTCACCTAAGTTTCAGAATTTGTTCAGTTTAGCAGAGTTAGTACCCGTGTTTCAATAAATCAAAAGATATCAGGGGAGTTCTTTAATAATGTTACGGTCATCTAGAATACCGAACTTCCTGAAAACGTTATCATATTTCCTCAGACAACGTTTAATGCCTTTAATCAGTCTATCACGGCTATATCCTCTATCAATTAGAATTTTGAATATTTTGTGAAGATGGGAGGTAAAGATATCCAATCTAGTGCAAACATTACCATATCTAAGAACTTGACTTGAAAAAACGTTGTAGCCAACCTCGGTTGGGATGTTACTGTGAGGAAATGTAAGGGATACAACATGAAAATTAAAATCATCAGTTTTGTTATACACTGATATTTCTAGTCCTTCTGTGGAAATATTAATATTTAAATCAAGGTAGTTAATGATTTTATTATTGGAACCAGCTCGCTCCATCTCCAATGAATTAGGATAAATTTCTTTAATCAATTTATGAAAGTAAAGGTAGTTAATAATAGATAAATCGTCAACATATCGTTTATTATTGGATAATATCTTTGCTAATCCCATTTTCTTTTCCTGAAGTAAACGTTTCATATAATTAAATTCCTTTTTGCCAACAGTGAGATCAGCTATAGGGGAACTTGAATTTCCACCCATAGGAATACCCTTGGTTTGTATGAATACAATCCCACCGAAGACGACATAAGTGTTATAAATAATAAATTTAACAGCCTCTTTTAGGTCATCTTGACTAAAGCAGGCATGACAATCATAGGTTTTATTGGAAAAGAAACATGTATTACTGTCTCTTTTAGAAATACAAATATATCTATTACGGTCTGAAAATATTAAATCAACAACTTCATTAATCATATTCTCTACTTCAATCAAGTCTAATCTGGTATAAAGAGTAGTAAAATCATATACTTGTATATTATAAACATCGCTATTTTTGATAGCTTCAAGGAATTCACTTGAGGAATCTATGCTCCAAAACATGTTTATACCGCTGTTGTTGTAGATTGCCTCGCAGTATTTCTTGAAGTATTTCCTCAAAAGTTTCAGACAACAGTTAACTTGGACGTTAAGTTGTTTCGTAACGCAAAAACGGGCACCTGCAATGAACCTCGCCTTGTAAGGGTTCTTATGAAGCTTAGGGTTCCAGAAGATGCGTGCTAGTCGCAAGTTTTTATCTTCAACTTGTACATTAAATCTCTCCTTTAGACTCTCAGATATTTTATTGACATAATGAGTCTCGTCTTCGCTACAGGGTTTATATGTATCATTACCTATACATTCTAGAGTATTAGGATCAAAACCCATTTCATTGACAAGAGTTTTTACATAAAACTTTTTACAAATAAATGAAAAATTACCAGAAGCTTTGTCGATACTACAAATAATGTATTTACTTTTCAGCATTTTAAGACTTCTTTTAACATCATCTTTTTCCAGTGTGTTTTCTTTTATTTCAAATGTTTCAGGAAAGTTTTTCTTGTAATATTCAATACGATTGGAAACTATTGATAACACTTTTTCCTTCCAATCGCTGAACTTTACTTCTTTTTGACAGTACTTTCTACTTTTTGATTTTATAAATTTATCGACAGCTTCGGTAACTGACATATATATCTCATCTGGAGATTTAAATGTGGGAATTCTGTATTTACAACCGTAGGAAAGTACTTCCCTAAGTTCAACATTATCAACAATATCTAAATTACCAGTAACTACATGTCCATGAGGAGGATAATTGAAAGGGGAGGAGTGACAATCGCATGGACTACCTAAAATAGATTTAATATCAGAAATAGAAAGTTTCTTTAAGAATGAAGCATAGTTACAAATAGAAAGACTTATAGGATCATTATACTCATAATAAATCTGTAATGGTGTAAAAGACTGAATCAAAATGGGAAGCAAATCAATGACTGAAGTGTCAGAGAAAATAGATTTTAGGTTAAGATTATCAATGAATTTGCAATTAAATGGAACAATTATAAATTCTCTATTACTGGATTCAGATTTGTTCTGATGGTATTTGGGGGAAAATGTTGAACAGAAAGAGGAACATACGTTGTAAATCAATCCTGAATTATTTTGACTCAAAGAGTAGAGAGTGTCTAAATCTGATAAGCTATAACATTTTAATGTTTTGTATATGGAATGTTCTGAAGAGATGTTATCTTTCAGCCTGTTAATATCAGACTCTATGGTATCCAGAGACTTCTTAGGCTGAACTTTCTTCTTTCCATTCCCTCTGCCACGTTTGTATCGAGCAATCTGTCCACTAAAATAATTCATAACCCGATCTTGGGAGATGTTGCCCGTTCCTTTCTTCTTGTCATTAAGACCAAGAGGGAATGCTGTCCCAAGCTTCTCTATCCAGTAATCCTCCAGGAGAAGTAAATCATTTTTGACATCGGTGGACATGTCAGAATCAACATAATCTACAATCTGTATGGAAGCATCTGAGAAGACGTGACCAGGAATATTAAAATGTTCATATAAAAATGTGGATGATTTGGCTTTGACACAATTTCTGTGGCCATTGACTCTTTTATGAAGTGGTTGAGTTGTTTCTCCAACATATTGTTTTTTACAGGTAGAACAGGTAATAACATAAATAACATTATTAGTTTTACAATTAAATATAAAATTTGTATGTCCAAAGATAAAATCATTATTAAAAGTACTGCTCCTAAATGTATTAACAGGATTAAAACTGTTGCAAGTGAGACAACCTCTACCATTGCAACATCTAAAAGTGCTAGAAAAGACATTACTAGGGGTTACCCATTTATTCAAGGATTTTGAGAAAAATTTACCATTACGTTTAAGTCAAGAAGGTAACATCATCCCTTTCGGCGTTTCCGCCTAGACCCAACGACTCGAGATAGGCCAAGGACAACGGGTCGGACATCAACCTATTGTCATGGGGCTGCCATGATTGGGCGGGCGTTAGATGTCATGAACCTAAATAGTTCTCCCACCGACGCAGTGTAGCCTGGCGAGATTCTTCGCGACCATAAAAATCTCTTAGAACCGGATCTTGCACTGCCGCTGTTTCTCGTACCGTAGCATGGCGGACAGCTCACGCCAGAAAATGAAATAAACAGGTAAATACAGGATAAATCAGGAGATGTATGTACAACAACAAGACTTCAAGGAGGGCGCCCAAGAAAACAAAGATCAACCAAATCTCGGAACCAATGGCCGGGAGAGATATAAATGTAATTATAGAGCAATATCAAGAAAAGCTATCAATTATGTATCCAAATTATGTATCCAAATTATAAGAGCAAATACCGAACAAGGAATCAGTTACAATGATAATTCTATAGTTTTAATATTTAGGAATTTGGCATAAAAAACGGTGATAACAACGACAAGAATTATCTTATTTCAGGAATAATTATAAATTTGGAAAATAATCAGAAATACAAATTTTATAAATATATATTTCAATTTGGTGCACCAATGGTTTCAAAATTTTCCTTTGATCATAGCAGTTCCTGATTGACTACAATATTTTGCTAATTTATTGCAATGAATCGTATTATTTTGCAATCGCACTACTTCTTTTTTCCAACCTTAACCTCAGCCTGGAATTACGGCCCGATTTTCCACAAAAGCTAAAACTTTGAGTCGTTATCTTGTGATGCCAGGGTTTGTTGACTATTTTTTACATGGATGACCAGTGGAAGTATAACTATTCCCAAGAAAAATACCACCATTCGTCTCAAGCCATGACAGGAATGTTGATTTTTATCGGACTTTGAAAAGCCGAACATGTACCTATAGAGCTAAAATTCAAATTTCGTGAAATTATAAGTGTAGTAGAAATCCCAGTTCCCACTCATTAAACAGTTTTGAGTTCAATTTAAGCTATGTGCGGGTAATATTTGAATCACTTTGTAAAACTTTGACAGCAAAATTTTAAAGTTATCATAAAGTTATGCTTTGTGAGAGTTAGATTTTGGATTTTAAAATGAGATATGTTTGATTCGTTTGACTCATATCAAATGTCCAAAGTTACTTTCAGCAGAACTTCTTTTAAAAAGCACTGCTGAACTTATATACAAGAAGTTCTATCAATGAATTAACAGGAGGATTCCTGCTCTATCTATAGAAACAAATTATCGCAGAAACCAATTAATGTCATCGTTTTTAGTATAGTTACATTTTTCGCTTTTAGCGACTAGAATAAAGGATTGCATAGTTCATGAAGTGATGGGTGGAAGAAGTCAGTAGCCCTACGTTTCATCCTCTAGCTAGTTGTTCACACCTGACAAGTGTCACCGTGTATCTTTGTGTACGTTCAGAAAGATATGGTAAGATGTAAAGGAATTTGCACAACGGATGAATAGATTTTCGATGGAAGTTCGTTTACCGCATATAGTGGAAAAAGTCGATAGAATATTAGCTCGTGCTTTCTAATGTACTTTTGGTAGACATTGCCGATGAGCGGTAAATCTTAGAAACTTTTTTAGACTAAAAATTAAAATTCTCTATCGTACTTCTTCGAAGAGAAACAAATATGAGCGTATTTCAAGCGTGCCAATAGATTTAACAAAGTTGAGCTTACAAGCAAATGTTAACATTTCATGACGACATTTTGGAAACAATGCTTCTGGTGGCCGCAAACTGGCGAGAACACTTTAAATCAATTCCTAGACTTTAAATAACGTTATTGAACTAGCATGCCAGCATGGTGATTGGTGGTATTCAGAGACATAATTATGTAATCTTGCAAATCACTAATCACCAGTCATATACAACTGATTAGCGATTACTACCAAGTACATCGAGAGGCAAGTTCCTTTGTTCTACTTTAATAAATTGGTCAATAGCAAATTTAATGGACAATTAATGGTTAATTTATTACACGCGCTACTTTCACACTTGGATGGAATTTTAATTTTGGTTACATTTATTATCAAATTAGAACAAGCTGGATAAACGCCAGTTTTGTCTAATTTTGGAGTCAGCAGTTTTGATTTGGTTATAGTGAAAAAATGTGTACTAAAACGTGCTAGGACGTATAATATCATGATAATCGTGTGGATAATACAGGGGGGGGGGGGGGGGGGGGGGGGGGGGGGGAGGGGGGGGGGGGGGGAGATCTCAGATGACCATTGAATATTGATTACCCAATCAATCTTGCTAACGAGATAAACAAATTACTTGATAACTTCGTCATTTTACATCAGTTTTGTCCGATTTTTTTTCAGATCATAATAATAATCCTGATTTCATGACCTTTAATAGCAATATGTTACAATGGAGTTTCTAACATGTTCAGAAACACGAGTATACGCAAATCAATGTTGATTGGGCGTGGCCCCTAAAAATCGGATTTTCAAATTTTGGCGACGGAATGCTCGAATGAGTAGTTACAGTATACCATCTGCAAAGTTACAAGTCTCAAATATGAAACACGGCGGTGGTATAAGACCCAACCTATGTGCACTTAATTGCCCCCCCCCCCCCCCCCCCATGTATTTACAGTTAATTGTAAGAATCTTACCAAGGAAATATCAACAAGAAAGTTCTCGAACAATTCCCACATGTGGTTACTAGTGTATATCTCCTTCATCTCAACCTGAAAGAACAAGGTGATTAACTTATTAATTAACTAATTAAAAAATACAAAATAACACAACAAAATGTTTAAAATCATATGGTTATGATGCACAGTTTATTACGGTATACTGTAAACTAGATACATTAAAGAGACTGGTCAACAACCGAGGCAGTTACAAAATGCAGTCGTATCCTGATATCTAACCAGGTGCAAATTGGAAAGAGTTTCTGATAGAGATCTGAGCCGTTCTCAAATGTTGACTTGGCGCTTATACTGTGACAGCATGTCCAAAGCTATATTTAGTTAGGGTTTATTTCCTGACCTTCTATACAATATACAAGTTTTAAGGCACAGGCTGAACTTTCAACACTTTCAACACCCCATGTGCGGTTCTGTAAACCCTACCTATAATCTATATATGTGAACGTGTTTGACACGCCATTTATCACCTTGGCACGTTTTTTGGAGTTGGACGGAAGTCATAGTACAATCAATCAACAACCACAGGTTGAAGTATGTGTGTTCAGGAGATAGTGTGCGGTTCTGGGTTTTTTGAAAATCCTTTTGTTTGGTTTGTCTGAATTATCATTTTGTTTTTAAACTATTCGGTTAAATTAACAAATTTTACATTTTCAGCTCCTACTATCATGAGCGTTAGTTTTGTGTTTCAACAAATAAAAATAGAAAAGGGAACACTAGGGTGCAGGTCGTTTAAGAAGGCCTCGTAGATTCTGTTATCTAATGTTTAAATGTCAATCGTTGGAGTCAAGTAACTACTGTGGTTGATAAAATTTAATTAATAAATGAAGTTAAAAGTTTAATTCATTTATATTGGCTATAAATTTAATTACGAAAACTGCAAATTATTATAAATTAGTTGCTATCCGGTTCATGAAAGATTTGCTTAAGATAATCTCATCAAGTGTATTCTGCAAATTTGGGTGGGCACCGTTTTACACAGGATTAACACAACTTTCTATAATGATTGGATTCTCATTACATCAATAAATTCCCATGACTTCTTCCTCATTTATTCCTCTCCCGTTACTAAAGAATTAAAACCTTCTTAAAGTTATGAGGCCGTATGGGACCCTTTTAGACCCTCTCGTTGTTTTGAATTTGAAGCTTTTTAATTTGAAACTCCCTCTATAATTATATAGCTCCCTCCATAACATATCTGTAACTACTTTCTAGAAAACACTTAATCTTTAAGGGGATTTTGTCAGATAACACGCTGGTAGGCGCAGTTTATTAAGACCTTCAGGTTGGTGAGGTGTCGGCTATAAAACATGCAACACATTTTCACCTTTGATCTAAGATTTGCCAGTGTACTGTAGCCTAGCAACCAGTGTGTCGATGTGTTTACCACCGATCTGAGGTCTGACAGTTTTGTAATATCGCTGTTGTTTGTAGGGCAAGACTTGCAGACTTGCAGGCTGCAGGTCTTTACAGTTTGCATTTATACAATTAACACCACCAGTCACCAGTTATTAAACAGCTAATTGAAATATTACCATAATAATACCAACTATTACATAAAAAATAATAGACTAGATTTCTATATTCTTTCAGACTTTTACTTAAGTCTAGTTATAAATTACTTAATCATATTTTATTGTACTAAGGTGTAGTATTGCCAGATCCCAGTTCAATTTGTAACGGAGTTTTATATCAACATGAAACGATGTAACAGAGTCGATATATTTTAATGTTGCCATGGGGTGGCAAGTCCCCATACATCGTGGTCCGGTAGTTTCATTGCGTCCTAATATATGATGGGAAGTGGTTCATATTTTTTAGGCACGTGACAGCGATCCTTGGATTTGATTGGTCGCTGCTAGAAGGTGATTGGTTAAACGGCAGTCTCGTTTCTGTAACCATGGATACCTTATATTTCTGTTTTAGTTTTATCATAGTTTTCAGTTTCTGTTTTATCCAACAGTTAACACAGTTAACACACTTGTTAACACAGTTAACACAGTAAACTCAGCAAGGTCGGATGGATGGCCCAGTTCGTCTCCATTCTAGTTACAAATAATGCTCTAACTCACGTTGCAGTCCCCCTGCAGTACCTTCATCACAGGTTAGTCACTATTAATATTTATTAATTATATACGTTTTTAACTTCCTTCATCACAGGTTAGTCACTATTAATATTTATTAATTATATACGGTTTTAGCTAGCAACTTCTCTTAAAGTTAATGATGAGTGTCGATTAGCAAAAAATGTACATTTTCCATTAAAATTAAAATTGGAAACACAAATTGTTCATAATATGTGGTGACTTTTGCAGATAACTAAATACTTTTCATCAGCGTTAAGAACATTATGTAGACCGTTACCAAAATGATGATAAACGTTTATAAAATCATATCGAACGTTGTGTCTAAAAATATGTGTCAAATCGGTATTTTGTTTGTGATTATGTCTCATGAAAACAAGCTGGAAGTCCGATCCATGGTCAAGGCCCCGCAGAGACCACAAGATTAGATAACCACAACATTTATTATCAAATTATGTAGAGATATGAGAAATATGTAGATACATGAGATGACCCGAGTATTAAAGCTCATAAATTGAACACTCATGCGTTTTACCACGTGTATTGCGAAATGACTAATGACTAACTCTGTTAGTATTTTCCATTTTAAAATTCACTCACCTTGTTTGTTGAATCACAGAACGCACATGCCGTGATAAAGTGTGAATTCCATTTATTTTAACACTTTCCATGCTAGTACGTCAATAGTGCCGGGGTTATTTTTGGCAATGCTGTGTTTCACGGTCAGGAGTTCCGTGACATATGATTTTACATGTGGTAAGTGAGCAACATGTCCTTATATGGACACCACGTGGGTAGGAACATGGTGAGAACCAACACATTATTAATATTCTGTAGGTTATATTTTATCCAAAGCATACCTAAAACTCTGAACTAAGATCAAAATTAAGATCTAAGATCACATTTTTGATATTATTGTTGGAATTGGAATTGCGTAGAGTTCAGTTTTTAGTTTTCCAGGTTTTTAAAGAAGAAACGACCATCTATTATCGAAAATAACTATTTCTCCGGAATAAAACATTAAATTTACTGTATATAATGTACGGTAACGGGTTTCGTTCAACCGATTTCAGACTTGGTAGTAAGATCCTCTGAGCCTGCCAGATGATCCTACATTAATGTTTGAAAACTCTAGCTAAGGAGGAGTGTGTTGCTTGTACTCTAAAGGAACTAAAAATTAGTGATTTTAAGTTTATCAGTTTGAAAAACTTCTTTCAAGACAGACCTAGCTTGGGCTAGTACTTGGAATTTATCTTTCAGTTCTAGACTGTGTGAGTGTTAAATTCTTACAAACACTCAGACTGTGTCAGTGATCATGGAGTTTACCTGGTACACTCTGTTCTTGTACAATTTGTAGTAATACCTAGTTGTTTTAGTTTAATACTTAGTTACTTTACTTTAATACTTAGTTACTTTAGTTTAATACTTAGTTACTTAAGCTACTTTACTTTAATACTTAGTAACTGTAGATTAATACTTAGTTACTTTAGTTTAATACTTAGTTACTTTCCTTTAATACCTAGATAGTTTATTTTAATACTTAGTTACTTTAGATTAATAGTTCTCTACGACTTTTATAATATACGATAAACTTTCACAAAAATGCTTTTTTTCGATAGTTTATACCATTATAAAGGTCTGCACCACAATGCATGACCATAAGATGTTAGCCATGATTTGCCGAAATTGACTGGACTAACAGTACCAGTAGCAGGCTGCCTTTTCATGCAGAGTGTATAATATCATCTGGACTAACAGTACCAGTAGCTGGCTGCCTTTTCATGCAGAGTGTATAATATCATCTCTTTTTGTAGCAGTGACCAACCCAACTGTATTGTGCGATATCATCATAAAAACTATTTTTCTTTTGCGTAACAATAAAGAGGATTGTGAAATCTAATTAGAATTGCATCTTCTACAATAGTACGTTTTACACTCGACTTTATTAAAAGTAGCTTCACAAAACTCCGGTAATAAAATAACGGTTATACCCTCGTACGAGTTATGTGATCAATTACCGTGCTGACTTGAGAACAATGTGACCAGATCAGGATCTATTTGGGATGAAGCTGGTCACACAAAGGATTGGAGCATTGGATATTGATAATCCAGCGACATCAGGCTTCATTCCTTGCTAGACACTGTGTGGACCGTGCCATCCTGGCGCGGAGATGTCATCATGGGTGTATCCTACTGAATATAAACTTGAAACAGGTGCAAAGACGCCGCTTCAACAAACTCAAAGATACTATGAGCCTAATGGTTATTAGCCCTTTTTTTGAAGTGATTTTTGTAATAGGTCTCTTTGATGAGAATAAAATTAAACAGACACTTTCTCAAGGTAATCAAGGAGAATAAAAGGCAGTGATAAGCTTTTGTCATGAAGGAATGATTCGGCTCTATCTGGACAAAAGCCGTGTCAATTGGAAGCTCGCCTGATGCCATTGACTCATTGACATCGTATAATTGGTTTTAGATCCGCCAATATTATAATGACACTAGGTACGACCGCACACACCGTTTGTTTATGAATCGTATGAAAGTCATTATTTCTCGGGGCAATTCATCGGTGGGCCCCCGTCTCTACACTGAACCAAGACCCGCGGTAAAATCATCAAGATCCTCGGTAAAATCACCAAGACCCGCGGTAAAATCACCAAGACCCGCGGTAAGACCCGTTTTCAGGACATCTTCAAATCGATCCTTACCAACCTCTCCAGCAGGAGCCCAGTGTGCAAACCGACCCAGAGAAAATCGTACAGCTATCACAAAGCCGTCAGAAACCGGCCCCACCATGGCTATCTCAGCTGCAGCGGCTGCAACTTCTTGCACGCCTTACAAAGCCAAGCTTGAAGCAAACTCAGCAAGTATATATAATACAGTTACACCTGGGCCACAGAGTTTAATGTCAGATGCAGGTCTCACGCCTGACGATACGAAGAACAACAACATTGGAAACAGTGCCGTGTCTACCATGAACAGGAGTCTAAAGCGAGCTAAAGCAAAGTCGAGGATGTTCATAGTCTATAACCCGTAGGTACACTGTGATAATTTGTGGGGGATGGGGGGGGGGGGGGGGTGTTCATAGTCTATAACCCGTAGGTACACTGTGATAATTTGTTGGGGATGGGGGGATGTTCATAGTCTATAACCCGTAGGTACACTGTGATAATTTGTGGGGGGGGGGGGGGGGAGTGTTCATAGTCTATAACCCGTAGGTACACTGTGATAATTTGTGGGGGGGGGGGGGGGGGGGTGTTCATAGTCTATAACCCGTAGGTACACTGTGATCATTTGTGGGGGGGGGGAGTGTTCATAGTCTATAACCCGTAGGTACACTGTGATCATTTGTGGGGGGGGGGGGAGTGTTCATAGTCTATAACCCGTAGGTACACTGTGATAATTTGTGGGGGGCGGGGGGGGGGGGGTGTTCATAGTCTATAACCCGTAGGTACACTGTGATAATTTGTGGGGGGGGGGGTGTGTTCATAGTCTATAACCCGTAGGTACACTGTGATAATTTGTGGGGGGGGGGGGGAGTGTTCATAGTATATAACCCGTAGGTACATTGTGATAATTTGTGGGGGGGGGGGGGGTGTGTTCATGGTCTTTAACCCGTAGGTACACTGTGATAATTTGTGGGGGGGGGGGGGAGTTTTCATAGTCTATAACCCGTAGGTACATTGTGATAATTTGTGGGGGGGGGGGGTGTGTTCATAGTCTATAACCCGTAGGTACATTGTGATAATTTGTGGGGGGGGGGGGGGAGTGTTCATAGTTTTTAACCCGTAGGTACACCGTGATGATATCCGGGGGAGGGGGATATAGAACAATTTGCAACCAGAAATTGGAAATGGATAATTGTCATCCTTATCTGAAACCAAGTGAAAACTCTGTAATTATAGTTAAAAATGAAATTTTGCTCCATAAAGCTGCTTAAGAAGCGGCAAAAATAGTTTCAAATCGCCTTATTTCCTAACACCCTTGATATCATTCTGATGGAATCTTTCATCACACCCATACTATTAGCGTAAAAATTCATTTTTCATTTACCCTAAAGCTTCAACAAATGATAACCTTATATTACTAAATTAGTCACTATTTTATTAGACACTTATTCAACAACCTGTTCTATTTAAGTGCAGTTGTAATGTGACCTGGGTTCAGTGGTCGTTTTGGGATTTAGGCTGATTGTGCACCCAATTAAGCTGATTTGATGACCTGTTAACTGTGTGGAAACTAGGCTCAATTCAGTTGTCGAGTCGGTCACCCCCTGGATTTTATCAATATCACTCGCGCCCAAATAAAAGCTAAGACACTTTGCTAGCGTACTCTGTTACATTTCTGTTGGTCCTAACTTTGAATCACGACATCTTCAGCACCAACAAATATCGATTTTTTAGTTGCGCTACATATTTTCTTGTTCGGTGAATGTACTTTGATGTAGTGTACTTTGATTTGATGTCAAGTTAATCGCTAAGGAGATGCCATCATTTTCGCCATCCACTTTTAGTGTAACACATTATTCATAGACCAACGACATCAAGTTTGCCTGCATAAATATTTAAAAAAATATATTATACTATTATATAATCTAAACTTAAAGAACACACTTTTCCCGTGAAACTAACACACAGATAAACTATTGTTTAGGGAAGGTACCGGAGTACCTCCCTCAGTCTGCTGCTCTTAGTACCTCCCTCAGTCTGCTGCTCTTAGTACCTCCCTCAGTCTCCTGCTCTTAGTACCTCCCTCAGTCTCCTGCTATTACTATGTCTACAAATAGTAATATCCATTAGGTGCCAGCCGCCAGGTGTAACAAGGAACCATGTCTGCTATAATTCAGTTCAATTATAGCTTGTGGTTACACATGATACCACAGGATTAAAATTGATGCTTTTGAATATATGATAGAATAAAAAGGATATTCTTAAGTGCTTTCTAATTCATCACTCAGATAATCTTGCTCTTGTTTGCATGGCACAAAGGAGATTATTGATGGTGCAGTTAGGCATAAACACCCAATTTTAAGAGACAGAATAAATAAATAGGAGTCCCAGGGTAGTCAGTGTTATACTAGTATGTTAGTATAATATTACAAGTCGGGTATTAAGTTGATGCACGTAATTCACACAAAAGAGGTGTTCGTGGGGTTGAGGCAAAGTTACAGTAACCACGCAGGCTTGCTTACCAGTCAAAGGTTCATAATTTGTATACATTACCTGGGTACATTTAGCGGAATTTAATATCGAGCACCCTGTTTTTATTTACGTTTTTGTGCTATTTCCAGGTAGTTAGGTACTCAGGTAATTACGCGTCGCAGTGAAGTTGAAATTCAAGATACCATCCACATGTTACGTCAGCAAGATTCTGCGGATTTTATACCCCCTTCCCCATACATACGTCCCTTGTATACGTCAGAAACTTTACATATCCAGCTATTGTGTTAAAAATAAATAAGCGTCGGCAAATTCAAAAACCTCCAACCACATAGGGTGCTGTGGTAATCAGTGAACGATCCTGAGCGGGGAACTACCATTACCACGCACCAAACTTTACACCCAACCGTGCACAACCGTGCACGAATTGTAATTCATGAGTTCACATAGTTCACATGGAACGCGAGGAGACGGTATAATAATGTGTCTGCAGATAATATATAGAACTTGACTTAAATTAGCTGGCTCTGTTCAGCTGTGTTCAGCTCCCGAGCCACCCTAACTTTCATGTGGGCACACCTCCTCCTCTTCCACCGGTGGTCCCCACACCTCCTCTCTTTGTGTCAGTCCTCTCTTTTCATCTGACCACAACCACGTTGTGCTTTTGGTAAACTGATTGGTAAAGCTCTCTTGTAAGCTGTCCACCCCTTCTTGCATAATTTCTGAGCAAGGGGTGTGCACATATTATTAATACTGTGCGTTTATTATTAGCCCTCGTTTACTATTTGTCTGGTTAACTTTCCTGTCGTCGTCTAGTCATGTTGAGCTTAAAGAATTAAAATTGAATAATGTAGTACGTTACTAATTGTAGATCGTGATAATGGATTATTCACATAATACAGTGATCGACGTGACTGTATATCATCAATACTTGCATAATATCTAGGAGCTATAATTATATCGCCGAGATATTGATATTGCGATTGGGTTCAGTCTATTAATATCACCCTTCAACTCTGAGCTTGATTTGATACTAGTTGTTGTCCATAACAGATTCACACCAAACGCGATTGTAGACTTAATATGCCTAGCCGATGTGAAGCCAGCAAATAGCGGTCTGTTATTTGTTAATTGCACATATAAACTTCTTTGGCCGTTGCATTTAAGTCTAATTTCATATCAAAGTCCCTGTTTTAAATTTCTGCATGTTTTGGTGGGCACAGTTAATTCACACACTGCTCTTACCCTTTCCGTGATTCATGTTTTGTTATTGTAGCTTTCAGTAGAAGGCACGCGCTGTAGCCTTACAAATTATTATATTCTCGAGATTTAATTTTAAACATTCAGCTGATTTTCATGCCTCTTGGGAAACCACAAAGTTTACTACGCTCTGGAAAGGTCTGTTAGGAACCGTGCCGCCGAGCGAGGATTCTTCACATTGGTCACAATTTCTCCTTGTAGTTTAACCACAGTTGCTTTAAAATCCTTCCCTTGAGGCCTGAGCCAGGGCCAGAGCAATTAGGCGTACCTAGGTGACAACAGTTTGATTGCAAGTTGAGCCTATCTGGATACAACGCAAATACTTATTACTTTACCAATTCGCCCACCAATTTTATGTTTATTATTTTGCTAGCGCTTTTGAATATGCAGTGACGTAGTTTCTCTAGTTCGTGCTAACTGAAACCCTGACTACCAGCAGATAACACCTCACCATGGCAATGCAGACCAACATGACTTCCTTCTCCAGACGCCTCAGTAGGTCTTACAGTGTGATTACGTCGGGAGTTCATCCCGGACAGCATCCTGCCCTCCTGCTACAACCACCTCGGTCTCCTAGAGGCGCTCTTAGAGTGGTGGACAGGTAATGTCACGTGATTTATCTGGTTTAAATAAGATCTGGAGGGGGATTATTTAAAACATATAAGATGTTTATGTGAGCATAAGAAATGGAGGAAGGCTTGGTGAGTCGCCCGGTTTCAACTCCTTCTAGGTTAAAAGATTCTCGATCTATATGATATCTCACTTTGTCTGGAACTAACGTCAGAGACCCGGTTAAATTGCACTTTTAATTAAAGATGTCCACCATTTTCATTTGATCCCCGCTTTCCTGGATGGCGTCTCGCCTTTACGCTTTTGTTCGCTTCTTTCCGTCGAATTATTACCTAATTAAGTGTATTGTGTAATCAAGGAATACGAGAGGAAGAATATATATTATATAAGAATAATAAGAATATCTAGGAATAATAAGAATATACAATTGTGATCCAATCAATCCCATTGTCGGGGAGAACAGCGCATTCTAATGTAAGATGAGACATTGGAGTACGTGTTATCCCTAACCTCCACCGGAATAACTTTGCGGATGGGGATATTTATAAATATCATGGTTCCGGTTAGTCTGTGTCTCAAACAAAAGACCCAGTCTTTCTGAAAGTAGGGTATTGTTATATAGTATATATATATATTGTTGCAGATAGTATTGGTTAATCGTCCTGGGGAGGTGCCTTTATCTGCTTTAGGTTCACTTCTTCCGCTATGAGAGTGTTACTGATGATAATAGGCTGCCCTTATATGGGTATCACGTGTTTAAATAGGCTGCAAGACTGTGTTCTGATTGGTTAGTTTGTGTCACGTGGTGTGGATACTGTGCTCTGATTGGTAAGTTTGTGTCACGTGGTTTGAATACAGTGCTCTGATTTCACAGCGGTACTGATGATAATAGGCTGCAAGACATATAATGAGAGATAGTTGTATCCAAAATAATGGATATCAATCATTATCCAGTATCCAGTATAGTTGGAATGAGCAACATATACAATGGTTAGTGTTACACAAGACTCTGACCACTCCTATCTCTGTTTACAAAGCTTACTA